GGATATATAGGGGTTATATTGAGATTATGTAGGGGGTATATAGGGAAAATGGAATAAACAATAATTATGGGTTCCTCTCAGCCGGATTCTCATCACGCGCAGGTTAGCGTTTAGGGGTTCTGGTTCAGGATTCAGGGTTTGGGGGGGGGGCGGGATGTTGCCTCTTATCTTGAGAATCTCGGGTTCAGGATTGGATGTTTTTATGCCACCCTGAAAGTGGGTCATTGTTGGATATATTGCTATATAGCCTCAAGCCCAACTAGGAATACAAAGTTACACACATCCCAGTAGTCATGGGAAAATCTACAGTCGAATCTATAGGAGCTTCTCTTGGCGCATATCGCTCACAAGAGGAATCGGGGCTTTAGGATAACCTACTGTAAAGTCTACTGTAGTTAGGTCCCTAAACCCTAAGCCCTAAAACCCTAAAACCTCAAGCCCTAAACCACTAAACCCCGACTGCCATCTGCAGGCCTGCTGGACGCAAGAATTGCTGCAGGCCATTGATGCTTCCAAAGTTGCATAATATGGTGTACCTAGGCGGGGGTTGCCTTAGAATCTGTATCCAACAGGTCCTTATATTGGGGTTCCTAGTATGGTACGGGTCTCCATACCAATACCAATTCCTCCATTTTGGGAACAATCATGTCGGCCAAGTCCCAAATTGTGTCTCGTGTCCCTAATTTCGAGTTCCCAAAGTAAGGATTAGAGCATTTCTGAATGGTATATTGAGACCTTCTGTTTGTAGATACTTACAGGAGAATGAGATGGGCTTCACAGGAGTCATGTGGGGATGAACGGCAAGCTTCAGAGTCTGAAGGCCTCCTTTAAGTCCCCAAGAGGGTCGAGGATTTAGGGTTTAGAGTTAAGGGGTGCAGTCCTACCAAAAGGTTCTGCAGAGGCGAACAACCCTGAACCCTAAACCCTCACTCAAAAAGGCAGGTCCTTGGGCTTTAAGGAGACCATCTGGGATTCCAGGGTCCCCTTCTTGTCAGAACTTCAGTAGGGTCTAGGGTTTAGGGTCTAGATTTTCAGGTTCAGGGTTTAGGTTTTAGGGTTCAGGGTTTGCTGGCCCAGAAGTTCTGGTTGTGGATGGCTCTCAGGTGACTGTCTGTGTGACGGACTGGTGTGAGAACCCTAAACCTTAAACCCTAAACTCTGAACCTTAAATCGCGTTTACGGCCCCAAAGCCAGACCTGGAACCCAACGACTCAACACGCAAATCCCAAAGTTAAAGTCTCCAGAAGAGGGGAGTACTGTAGGGGTTATTAAGGAGGATACTAGGAGTTTAGACTATAGCTCATATCAACCCACATCGTGTTGGGCTGCTGCTCGTAGTGCTGACAGTGCCTCGTGTTGCAAGGCTTGTCTCCCAACCGGTTCAGGGTTTAGGGGTTTAGGGTGTAGGACTATGTGATGGGTCCAGGGTTTAGGCATTATCGGAGTCTCTTACGGTATAGAATCCTTAGTGGTGACACCTCCATGATTTCATCGGTACTCCCCATACATCCAGAGGGCTGTTCCTCTTTGGAGAAGCCCCTAGTAGCTCGTCAGAGAGAATTATTGAATCCGAGCAGAGATGCCAATATGAAACACGAAGTACATTCAGTGTCCTCAAAACCCAAATTTAAAACGCAGAAGCCCTGAAACCGAACCTCAAACTACTAGCCCTGGAAACCCTAAGCACTAAGCCCTAAATTCAGACTCCTATATTGGCCCTACATACCCCTACATAATCTCTCACTCACTCACTCACTCACAATCGCGAACACGGGTCCATGTGTCCTTGCGTTGCCATGTGGCTTTGCCTATGGCAGGGGCCAAGACGGCTGGTCTGCCGCCCCACAGGGCCAAGAATAGCACAGACACTCTTTGCCATGTGCTGCGCTCAGCGCTACATCAAATATCCAGGCATCATGATGCCACTGCAGAAGGATTGGAAAGAACAGGATTGAAATTAAGAGACCTCAGGAGAGAAACATCAGAGCTCTTCATCTTGTCAAAGCTACGAATGTGAAATGCAACTGCCACCATGCGAAGTCCCTCAAAGGCATACGTGAAGTGAGGAGTGCGCGCATTGAAGAAGACTCCATCTGGCGTCAATGGAAGATCACGTCCACGTCCAACTCCAGGCATCACCAGGTCCCCTGTTGGATCTGAGATCCACAGCGAGCCACCCTTGCAGGTCTCAGAACAAATTGAAATCACCATGTTGGGGATATCGGGGTGATTGTGAGCGATGTAAAGCAATGCTCCATGGAGACTGAGCGCACAACTGTCGTCCACAAGAGGCAGGACCATGGATGTGTAAGCGTGAGCTTGTGGCAGCCAAGGATGCCGCCGTGCACAAAAGCTCCCAGATTGATTGAGCATGATTCACTATGCGAACAACTACTAGCAAAACTGTTCCTAGCATGGGGCTTGGAGGGCAAAAGCTCAAAGTGCTGCTGGAGAAGACGCTCAGAGGCACGACCCAGCCGCAAGAGGTTTTTGGCAAGGCACTCAGCCTCACCCATCGCCTCACCAAGCAAAGACACCATCGAAGAATCCAACGTCAATGAGAACCCAGGCGACTGATCTGGTGGAGTCGGTGAGAGGCACAGTCCAGTGGAGTCATCTGCCATGGGAACATCAGAGGAGAACTGGCTGTCAGACAAGTCCTCCATGTCGGTGCTGCATGGGCCCGGCTCATCATCACTGGGTTGATACTCAAGATCCCAGGCCATAGGCGGAGATCGCTGCAGTCGCTGAGCGAAGGGTCTCCGATCGGGATTCATGCTTGCTTCCTGGCACCCTATCAGCGGCTAAGCACTGAAAACAGAAGCTGCGAAATGTCACTCCTGTCATGCTGCCACCACACTCCAGTAAAGAGAAAAGCATGCGAAAACTCCGCCTTTGGTGAGCCGCTGAGCCTAACCTCAGTGAATGAATGAATGCAAGGAGCACGGCTGAGCAGGTGCATCTCACAAGTTGTAGCCGTACTTTTGCCACAGCTCCACCGCAGAGAAACTCATGTCTGGAGTCTATGGCTATGACAGTGATGGCCCACACACTGAGGAGCAAAAGTGGCTGAGGATCTTAACCAAAACACGCCATCGAGAGGCTGGCAGTTACATTGACTTGGCTATGGCCTGCGCTAGCGCAGAGCGACTTGCGCGATCTTTACGCAAGCCCATTCCGATCAGCTGAGTGCACGCCAAACCGGAGAGCACAGCAAGATCCTCATAGAGCGTGGCCGCCCTAGCCTCGCGAGCTGACACCTGCAAGCAGCACGTTAAGGAGTCACCCGTCATCGATGCCGTCAACGGCCGGGTTGGGTGAAAGCGAACCACCAAGCCTGGCTCAGCCACTTGGCCGATGATCTTGTCCACGAGGTTGATCGTCTCCGCCTTCTTGAGGGGAGCGCGGGAATCATCAACGACCAGCCGCTTCTGCTCAACAGACCAGTGAAGGAAGTTCCAGGAGCATAAGTCCTCTGTCAGCCATCCCAACTTCTTGAGGCTCTGCGTGTTCTCCTCCTCTGAGTCGAGGCTGCGCATTCGGGCAACCAACTCCCTAAAGAGACACGAAAGAAGACTGCGTCGCATGGGTTTGGAGATCTTGGCGGGATCTGTGTCGCGCAAGTCGCGCCAGGCACGCTGTGCAGAGTACAATGCTGGCACTACCGAAGAGGCCGAAGTGACACGCAGGAAGGCAACGAAGGAGTAGTCCGCCTGTGTCAGCCCAATGGAGTCTTCATGGCGTAGAACAAGGCGCTGTAAACTCTGGATGGATGCCCGCAGGTCAGCTACCTCCTGGTCAGGAGAGTCGCGGTCTGAACGGCCACGATAGCCACGTCTGTTCCCACCATCACGGGACTCTCTGTCCCTGGGAGCCGATCTCCCCGCGTCAGAGCGCCCCTTGCCCCTGCCGTCTCTGCCTTGACCGCCTTTGCGTTGATCCAGCTCACGGCGAGGTTCTTTGTATGACCGGTCATCTATGTCCATCTTGCGTTCCTCAAGCTTGACTCCGCTAGGAACATACGAGTCAAAGAAGGCCTCCTCCACCAACTGCAAATCATGTCCCGTCATGTGACCTACAGGGTGTAGGCTACGAACTATTGCAGGTGCTTGAGGAACAGCACGTATACGTTTTTGCACACATGCTCAGTGACCGCAACTGCTGAAGAGCAAACACCATCATCACACATTCTCCATGAGGCACCAACCCGAAGAAGCGCTTGATAGTGCCCGGAGTGAACAGTCCGTCCTGTATGCATGATTGCAGAGGAGACGGAAAAGCGCTGATGCTCAAGTGCACCAGCGAGAGGACACACTGCAATGCTGACCTCATCCTCGAAGCTCACTTCGGTGAAGAGTTTGTTGCCCGCATTGTACCTGTCAAGCTGTGTTGCAAGCTGGCCGCTGTGTTGTCGAAGCAGTCGTTGAGTGCCAGGCTCCGGAGACTGCCACGCATCAATGATGTCCTGCAGGGTGCACGGGTTGTCGGGCAAGCTCATCATTAGTGGAGTGCCTCCTTGCTCTAGAGGGTCATCAAACAAACCTCTGGGGAGAAGATGCCACAAACTGCCGAGCATACGCAGAGAGTCAAGTAAGAGCATGGCGTACTCAGCTGCGTCACGCTGAACATCATTGTACTGCCAATTCGGCAGAAGGCTCCTGAACATAAACAGCGTGCTAAGAGTGAGAGACATACCATGCCGCAATGAGGACCGACATGCCTGGTGCAAGAACTCCAAGTTGCCATACTCCTGGCCAGAGGCATAAAGCAGGTGCAACAAAGCATGTGTGCAAGCGTTGACGTAGCACAGCGAGTGTGGATTGCGGAGTTGTACTTGACATGTCCACGGAATATCGGCCATGCCAACTGCCCCAACACCATCCCTCATCTGACCACCACCAACCTCCCCTTTCTTGCTGAAGAACCTGTGTAGGCCAGTGTGATGGGTGCGGTCACGGGCATTGCCTTCACGGTGCAAAGCTGGTGTAGTGACGCCGTGGGCGGAGTCGGTCGTCGCGGTGTGGACTGCGGCGGAGGTGTTTGGCTGCTGCTGTAGGCCAAAGGCACGACCAATCTGAGTGTTGCTGGCTCGCCAAGTTTTGTACTCAGGGACACGTAGCCTAGGTCGACTTGACTTGGCTCCCTCAAGCACCAAGGGGTCCTTGCCCGTGCTCTGAATCCATCTCAGCGCAGAAACTTGAAAGAAGGCTGGACATCTCGTGGCATGCTGGGAGGCTTGTTTGTTGGAAAGTCCACAAAATCTGCACGGAGAAACAAAGATTGCACTCATTGCTTTGGCTGCTCGCTCAGCTTCAACCCTCACATACTCCCAGGCTAGAGGATGCGTGCTTCTCCAATGTGTTTTCACCGTATTCGCCTCGCGTAGTACTTGACCACAAAGACCACATCTGAGACGCAGGGTGTCAAACGCATTCAAGTGTGTCGGAACCTCATGGAAGGGGCATGTGAGCACTGGGTGCTTGGAGTCAAGGAACTGTGTTGTAGTGCAGGCCAGCTCACTGGGAGGAACAGGGGGATTAGCTGCTTCTTCCTGGAGTACTTGCTCATACAACACCTCAATTGTGATGTCTCTTGCTAAGGCATCCTTGATACGAGGACAGGCTCCTTCCGCAATGTGCTTTTCAAGAGCTTGCCAGTTGTAACAACGCGCATGACAGAATCTACAGAATGGCGCTCCATGTAGACTGTGCTTGCTCCTCACAAAATCAATCGGCGAGCGCTGGTTAATCTCAGTGTGCTTCGCCTTGATATGCATCTGGAGCCCGTAGTCCCCAGCAAACTCTATACCACAAATAGGACACTCGACACGTGGCGCCTGATCAGCGACAACAGCCTGCAGTCTACCCTGAGAAACTTGCGTCGTGAAGGTTTCCAGTTGCTCAAGAACAACGCCCACTCTCTCCCGCTCAATACGGCAGACAAGAGCGCATCCTTCCACTTCCCTGGACTGAATGCGTGAGAGTTGCCCTCTAGCCTGCTCCAGCAGAATCGACGTCACATCTAGTGTTGCTGCTTCCAGGATGGCTTTGTTAGTGGTGCCCTTCTCGTGCATTCTCAGGACTTTACGGAGCTGCCGCGCCGCTGTACTAATCACGTGCTGGAGGCTGCCCGCCGTAAACCCTACAGCAATCAAACCATAGGAGAGCGTACTCCAGATGCATGCCCTGTATATGCGCAAACGGATTGACTTGCTTAGCGCGCCGTTCATTCTAAGGGGCTTGCTGAGCATGCCAAAGTTTTGTGCTGCTTTGTCCGCTCGGTGTCTGGCAGACTGCATCTCAAACGCGCCATAGGACAAGACCACGCCCAAGTAGACCAAACGATCATGTACTGGGAGCTTAATGGTCCGTGTCTTACTGCGGAGCAGAAAGTGTCTCTCTCCCCGAAACCAGGCGGTGTATCGTCCTACAATCTCCTCTGCAGCGCGCCCCCGAAGCGCATAGACGACCGCAGACTTGAGGAAGCTGACCTGCGTGCTCCGCTCTTCAAGGAGGCAAATTGCATAGTGGAGTTGTCTTACAGCCTTGTGGAATTGAGACTTGCTGTGAATCTCCCAGAAGAGATGCTTGTCATCTGCAAACACTGACACATGTTCAAGCGAAAACCCGGCTTCAGTACCCTCATCAAGGTCAGCGCAGAACTGGCAGACCCACGCCGCACACAGCATGGGTGCAACAAGGCAACCTTGACGCAGCCCACGAGACATAGAAAAGCACTCTGTGTCACCACCATGTGCAATGCTGAGACATGTCTTGCGATGAACTTCAATGAGCACACTCGCTAAGCAGGCCGGCATATTGGTCGCAAGCAGGGAGCGGTACAGGGCAGAGTGATCTACAAGATCAAATGCGCGTGTGAGATCAAGAGAACACATGAGGCCCCCCGTAAGTTCGGTCTCCTGCTTGTTGATGATCTTGGAAACAAGGTCCCCCTTGTGCTGAGCAAGTAGAGCACGAACCTGATGGCAGTGAGAGGTGGCCCGAAGAATGGGGTCGTAGGTCGAGGTGCCTTGCCTATAAGCAAACAGAGGGCGGCTAGCCATACGCGCCTGTACATAAGGGCTTGCTCTCTCTTTAAGCAAGTATAGGAAAGCCTTGGTGTCTGATGCCATTAGCCCCAGCGATCTCAAATTTTCCGGCTTCACTGGCGGCTTCGAGGGCTTCGCAATCCAAATTAGTTGCGCAGTCGTCCATCGCTTTGGCACTGTAGGCGCTTGCGAACACAACTCCGCTACAGCAATACGACTCAAAGGCTCAGCTACGAGCTCTGCGTTGTCCTTCCAGGCCTGAACTGAGGCTGACCCAAGGGGCGCCGCTTTGTGACTACGTTGTTTACGGAGTGCTCGAACCCACGCATCCGAAGAGAACCACTCCTCCGGCAGTGGCAAGAGGGCATACTCATCGAAGGGGTCACCCGTGAAGAGCTCTCTAGCGTACTCAACAAGCAGAGTTCTTTCCCGGGATGGCTCAAGCAGTTCTCCCTTGGCGCCGCGAAGATTGACCCTCTTAGAAGCCCCCTTAGGAGAAAGCAGTCGAACATACTGATACAGGCGCCTAGAGTCACGAGCAGCAGCTGCCTGCTCCGCCCCTTTGAGAAGCGACAGAGTCTGGTCACGCTTGCGAGCGCGTGCTGCACGCTTGAGCTTGGTGTGCGCCCTGTGGAGCGCCACATAGTGTTTCATAGCACTGAAGCAATCCTGAACCTGAATGCCAATCCTCTTGCCCCGCTCAAGTCCCCGGCCCTTGCTCCACAACTCCGCAATCTAGCCGGCTTGGTGGGCTTGGCCGCTGGTCTGTCACTGTGCTGCCTCAAGGAGCCGGAGATTCTGTCCAGCGAGACCGCGGCCTCTTCCACAACTTCGGCAACCTGCGGGAAGACTTGTGTTGTCCGAGTTTTGGAGGTTTGTCGGCTATGCTTCCACGGCTGCCAGTTCAGGGGGAGATCGGCAGTGAGGACATGATGACCGGAGGGTCTCCATGCTGCAATGGGGGCTGGAAGTACTCCGCACTGCTTGGATCTGCCATCTGCAAGGGCCTGTCGTATACAGATATAATCAATCTGAGAGATGCCCTTTGGATGCTCGTAAGTGGGGCTAACTTTGCTCCAAGTGTTGAGCGCACAGAGCTTGTGTCTACGCAAAACATCCATGATTGCACGGCGATCCACCAGCACATCAGGGCTTTGCCCCCCCAGCTTAATGCCACTTCCAGCCACGTGCCGAGATGGCTCCAGCGTTGCATTGAAATCTCCCATTAGAACTACAGAGGACCTCAAAGGCAGGGAGCCCAGGAGCGTGTCCAAGGCACGCCAGAGTTGGGCTCTGCGCAGAAATGTACCCTTTCTCAGTTCCCCTTTTGAAAAAGTCATGGCATGCTGGTACAGCACAATCAAATCAATCTGCTGAAGCTTGTACGTGAATCTCACATGTAGCAGCCGTCCTGGTACAACATCTCTCCACTTCACTGACTCCCGGTGAGAATGCTTAGCATTGACGCCCGCTAGGATGCCCCCAGAGCGCTGCTGACCAGTAGAGCTGTGCACAAAATGCCAGGACGAAGTGGACCAGTCACAGTCAAACCCCCAATGGGACTCTTGCACTGAGAAAAAATCAACATCACCCAGCACATCTAACCAACTGAAGAACTCTGCATGTAACTCTGATGAAAAACCACTGCAATTCCATCATAGGCAGCGCACTCTCTCAACAGGCCTAACTGCTTTCTTACAAGTAGTGTTGCAAGGGACAAAGTCTTGCTTAACCCGCAGCAGCTGGCCCTTGTACATGGTAGCACCGGTTTTCGATGCTTGCGCAAGCGCAATGCGAAAGGCTCTCTTTCCGCACTTGACCCTCTGCCCTGTACGAGCTGGCAATGAGTCCCTGTTGTTCGCCATGAAGGCGTCAGGCGCGCTCAGGGCAGCAACGCCAACCCTCACGCCGGCCGCTTGTCTGCCACCTAATATTCCCGTGCTATCGCGCGGCCCCCGGCATTGGGACCGGGCTGAGCACACCGCATTTCTGTTGTATGCTCTGTCATCTTGTCTGTAGAAAATGCGAAGCACAGGACCCCAGCAGCAAATTGATTCCAGCGTGTTTCTTAACATGACGGGGAAGACTCCTGAGTTGCGAGCGATTGCTCTAACTTCAACGAGACTGCAGTCAGCGGATATCTGAGCTGGCAGAAGCGAACCAAATCTTTGTAATCATCAAATGGGAGCACTTCTTTAGCACCAATAAACAGATCTTCCAATGTGCAGTCTTTCCAGAGAGCCCAAGCCAAGTGCGAAGTCTGATTGACGACCGTGCAGCTATGGCCCTCAGAATAAAGAGTCTCAACGAGAATCTCCCTGAATCTTGCAAGAATGTGAACAGCTGGAGTCAAACGACTGGCCATTGCAGTGGGGATCCCTCATTTGAACCGCTCACGGCGCTTCTACATAATCTCTATATACTATATACCCCTATATAACCCTATTCTACCCCATATTATCACCATATACGGTAAACCGGAACCCTAAACACTAAACCCTAAGCCCTATATTCAGATCCGTGTGTTGAGGCTGTGAACCCGAGCCTTTGGTGCTTCAGGGCGTGAGTTTGGTTAGTGTTGGCCCCATGGCAAGCCAGAACCTCTTTGTATGGTCTTAGCGGGTTTAGGGTTTAGGGTTTGGGGGCAAAAAGGCAGGGATAAGATCTGGGCAGGTGTATGAAAGGTGTATGAAACAAAAGGGTCATTGACGGCTGTAATCTCGGTCCGTATGGCGTGATCCTTAACCTGGACTCCTCCGTTTCCAGCTGTAATCCTCTTACATCAAGAGGGTCCGGTGTCCACAGGAACCCCAAACGCTAAACCCTAGACCCATAAAAACCTTGACCCTGAACCCTAAGCACACGCCCTATAAATGGCAGGACCCCACTATATTACAATCCTTATCTTGCGGACCCCCGGATTGGCATTCCCCTAACCCTTACCCTAAGCCCTTCACCCCTAGGCACTAGACTCCAAGCCCCAAAACACAAGCCCTAGGGGTATAGTCTTAAAGGGGACTATATTCCTAGTGTTGGGCATACCTCCGCTGCTCCCTGCGTCATCCGGAGGCTCTGCAAGAGGATGGCTTCGAGGCCAGGTGCTGCCGATACTAATGATGAAAACAATAATAATGATAAGAACAATAATAATGATGAGAACAATAATAGTAGTCGTACTAGGTGGTGGTGGTGGTGGTGG